CACAAAATTGGACCAAGAAAATAAGCAGAAAATAAAATAGCAGTAACCAATACACATCTTTCAATAACAAATTCAATTATGAATGGCCTCAGTCCCCAATCAAAGACACAGACTATTTAAGTGGATTAAGAAACAAAATCCATCTTTTTGTTGTCTTCAAGAAACTCATCTCACTTTTAAGGACAGACACTATCTCAAAGTGAAAGGAGGGAAAAAATATATCAAGCAAATGGCACTAAGCAAAAAGCAGGCATAGCAATTCTAATATCTGACAAAATAGACTTTAAACTAAAACTGATCAGAAGAGATAAAGAGGGCCCCATGATTCTGATCAAAGGAAGAATAAATCAAGAATATATTACAATCATGAACATATATTCACCAACGTCTGGTGCCCCTAACTTCATAAAAAAATACTACAGGACTTCAAGACCCAAATTAACCCCAACTCACTAATAGTAGGGGATTGATAGGTAAACAGGGCAGAGAGTTAACAGAGAGACATCTGAATTAAATAATACCATATAACAAATGGACTTAACAGACAAATACCGAATATTCCACCCAAGCACTAAAGGACATACTTTCTACCCAGCACCTCATGGAACCTTCTCCAAAATCAACCATATACTGGGGCACAAAACAAACCTCAACAAATACAAAAAGATTGAAATAACCGGGCATGGTAGCGCACGTCTTTAATCCTAGCACTTGGGAGGCAGAGGCAGGCGGATCTTTGTGAGTTCGAGGTCAGCCTGGTCTACATAGTGAGTTCCAGGGCAGCTGGGGCTACAAGGAGACCCTGTCTCAAAAAAAAAAAAAAAAGACAAAAAAACAAAACAAAAAAAACCCCCCAAAAAGATTGAATTCCATGCATTCTATCAGACCATAATGCAATAAAGCTTACAATCAACACCCAAAGAAATCCTAATTACCACGTGAACACATGAAGATTAAACAACACACTCCTGAATGATGAATGGGTCAAAAGAGAAATTAAGAAAGAAATAAAAGTATTTCTGGAATTAAATGAAACGGACAATACAACACTACAAAACCTCTGGGACACGCTGAAAGCAATCCTTAGAGGGAAGTTTACAGCCCTAAGTGCCTACATCAAAAAATCGGAAAGAACACAAATAAATGACTTAACACTGCAACTCAACACACTTGTAAAGCAACAGCAAATGAAACCCAAATCCAGCAGACAAGAAGAAATAACAAAAATCAGGGCAGAAATTAATGAAATCGAAACAAAGAAAACAATGCAAAGAATCAACAAATCAAAGAGCTGCTTCTTTGAAAAGATAAATAAGATTGACAGACTGCTAGCCCAGTTAACCACAAGAAAGAAAGAGCACCTCCAAATCAACAAAATCAGAGATGAAAAGGGAAAAAAGAAATAGATGCATGTCTAAAGGCATGGGAAACACCAAAACTAATCCAAGAAGAGATTAACAGCTTAAATAGACCCATATCACAAAAAGAAATTGAAACAGTAATACAAAACCTCCTGACTAAAAAAAGCCCAGGACCAGATGGATTTACAGCAGAATTCTGTCAGACACTTAAAGAAGATCTACATCCAATACTACTTAATTTATTCAAAAAGATAGAAATGGAGAGAGAACTTGCAAATTCCTTCTATGAAGCCAGCATCACTCTAATACCACAGCCAGGTAAAGATACAACCATAAAAGAAAACTATAGACCCATATCCTTAATGAACAGAGATGCAAAAATTCTTAAAAAGATACTTGTAAACCGCATACAGACACACATCAAAAAGATCATCTACCATGATCAAGTCAGCTTTATTCCAGAAATGCAATGATGGTTCAATATATGTAAGTTAATAAATATAACAAATCATATAAATGCACTTAAAAGACAAAAATCACATGATCATCTCAATAGATACAGGAAAGGCCA